TGAAGAGTTCCAGCTTTTCTTTGATTTAAACAGAACTTTTTATTGCTAGGGATATGTTGCAGATGCAACATGCAGCTCATTAGGCAATCACACTTGAAGAGTACAGGTTCACCGCACTCTTATTGGTGTTGGTTCATATTATTGGAAAGTATCCGTTTATTCTGCAGTGGGATTTTAAAATAAGCTGTGAGCAAGCACACATTCTTCTTGTGATAAATTACTCTGAAAGGTAGAGATGGATTTTAGTATGACTTCTAAATAAGTTTTGGCCCATCTTTGAAATGAATAGCTTGTCTGTCGTCCAAGAAGGTGGATCTGTTAGCTGGAACAACAGCATCTACTACTGACACTCCTAAAGCCAGTAAATAAAATTGTTGATTCATATTCTTTCCCTTTTGCTCCATTTTTCCTTCAAATAGTGTAAGATGTGCTTTGTTCTTCTTGTTTGTCACTTGGCTGTGATTTTTCAGAGACCTAAAAGGAATATAAAAGGCATTATTTAGAAAAGAGGTGTTCATACTTGATTCAGTACTCTCCTTAGATATTATTTTCCTCTTCAATTCTTTTAATACTTGCTCTAAACCCACAAACTTTCAGAACCGGTGTTTAGCTAATTTGCAGCTTCCACCTTTGGCTTTTGTTCTTCAGCTTACTAACATGAATAAGGCATTGTCCCATGACTTATTTTCTGTGTGTTCTGGGAAGGTATTGGTGTTTATTTATGTAAGTCTTTATGTGCTCGCAAAACTGGATGTCATCATCCTGTGCTTGCTTAATTCAGCTCCACTGCCTTGTCATGTACATTTGTATAATCTTCAGATATGGTCCCTAAGCTGTCTGAACAGGTTTAATTTGACCTGCCCTGCATGCTAGCTCAGAATCTTACCTGCTGCTCCATTTTATCTCTGCACTTCATGCTAATGAGCACCTGCAGTGTTTCGTGTACCTAATCCTTTGGACAGCTTTAAATGTGCAGGGGAAAAATGCAAAGGAGTTGAGCAGTCACAGCTTTGGTACTGTGTAGGGTGGGACTTCAGAAACGTTGCTCTTTCTATCTACCACTAACCTGTGCAGCCCAGAGCTGAATCCTTTGTGCTTATCAAGTTCTGAGGAGTAAGAAGTGACCCATAAAAGAGTAACTTGGAAATTGCTATCACACAGGACGAAGAAATGCTGAATGTTTCAACTTAAAGACCTTCAGAAGGCTAAAACTATATTTGTTTATTTATATTTTAACAGCTGAATCACTGTCTGAAAAGAAACTTACGTGTATCTTGGTAAGCTTAAAAATAAGTATTAACAGTGTAGATGCGGGAAAAAGTAACCTATTTTCAAAAATGCTTAAGTATTAGCTAAAGCTAATATGCATTTTATTATTTGTAGGGCAGAATGCATAGTTGCTGCTAAAAACTGTGATGCATAGCTGCCCTTACAACCTTTCTTTCTGTAAAGAGTTAAGTCTGTGAGTTAAGAGTTAAGAGCTGCGATTGTAATATTCTCCTGTTAAATTTGGTCAGGTTCAGTGCAGAACTGATTTTGTTTAAGGTAAAAGGTGGCTGTTTCAGAAACTGCTAGCTCTCTTGGATTCAACTTCATGCATGGATTCAGGAAAGCAAGGGATGCAAGGCTGCTCAGCTCTGATAGGAGTGAGGAGTGGGAAGCAGGCTGTGCTGCCTGTGAAGTGGGAGTGAAGAGGAAAAACCTTCTGCTACCTTCTGTCTGTAATCAGAAACTGTAGCTATGGCATCTGCTGAGCATGGTCAGCATTTCATGTCCTTTGCCCAAGTTACAGTCCACACGTAGAGACAACCTGGAGTTGCATGAACAGGCCTTTGTTTGCTGCTCCTAATTTATTTTGTCTGCAAGCTCACCAGTCATTAACAAGTCCAACGTCTTCTTTCCCTTCTGCCTTTGTCACTACGTTTCACTGTGATCTGAAGAGGTTAATAAATCACTGGCGAGAGAATATTAGTGCCACATGTTCAGTTGTCCAAAGTGAGATAAAAAACTCATAAAGGAATTATGTTTCATATTTTAATTGCGTAAGAAGGAATACAATATGTAGATAAGCATAAAGAAAAATTCTCTTCATAGTGAACTGCCCTAGAAGGGGAGAGGGTGGGGTTTAGGGGTGTTTCCTGGCAAGTGTCGGAGCAAAGCATTGAGCCTGAGGACCTGTGTGAGCAAGTCAATGAGGTGGCACTGTAGTTTCCCTGCCTGCTGGGGCAGCTGTACAGCTTGAGCCTGGGCCCCATGATGGGCATCTTGAGCCATCTGGCAGAGCAATGCAAATAAAGCAACACAGTTATGCAAGTCAGAGCTATGTGCCGTCTTTTTTCTTGCTACCTTCTTTCTAAAGACCATGTCACGTACCCCTGTGCAGGCTGGCAGGATCCACTGTGCAGTGTTCCCAGCAGGAGTTACCCACTCTGGCCAAAGGAGATGGTTTCCCGACAACCTCAGCTTCATTCCCTGAAAAAAATGTTTCATGGGCCTGATGTGCATAAAGGTAAAGAGATGAGGAGAGTTCTGAGGGGAAAGGAAGCATAAAGGGATCAGAGAAGAGACCAATAAGGAAAAAGGAACTTTAGAAGGGAAGAAAGGAGAAAGACAACTGTCAAGGAATAGGCTGGAAGAGAAATTCTTCATTCTGATACAAGTTTTCTAGGAAGTGCAAGTCACTAGATCTTGCCTCCTGAGGCTTTGTAGAACTGTCAGCGCATTACAGGAAGGTAAGTCACATTGTTTTGGATGTGTTTCGATGTAGAGGACACAGATTGTGTCTTCTACACATGGCCTGACTGGAAGAATTTAGAGAGTTTTTTTCATATACATTATTTTTGTGTTGACATTTTGTGTTACACTAACAAATTGTGTAGTTTAATACATACCACACCTCACAAATTTTCAACTTGACATGGAAAGGCATCCTCTGTGACAATGGTATTGCCTAGACTTTCTCAGAGGTGCCCAGCTTTCTGCTCTGAGGTCTTTAGCAATCACTCCACTCTCAGGTCAGAGACAGATGGGCATTTGGGGTATGCATGGAGTCAGGGAGCAGATTTTCCTCTAGCTGGGTGAGGAATGAGTCTTTTTTGCTTGTTGAGGGTGGCCATCCATATGTGTGATCTTCCCCAGCTGATGTATCAGGGTTGCAGCATGAGGACTCTGCTGGCTGGCTGGTGGGAAAAGGGGCTCAGAGCAAGATGGTAACAAGCCCATGTTCAACCAACTTCTTGAGGGAAAATGCAAGTTGAACTGGCCAGTTCTGTATAGCCAGTCTCCTTTGTCAGCTCATTACTGTTAGCAGTGCACAGGAGAAATAATATGTTACTTCCATCTTGATAAAATCCGTACAGTTAGAGTCACAGTGTCCATGTGTGAGCTTGGCCAACACAGGTTCCTCTGCCTTAGATGTGCTACAAACACTATACAGGTGAGAATGTTTGTAAGCACATGTAGTATTTGCTATACTGCAAGCAATCACAGCTTATCTGCAGTATTATCATAAATCAATACATTTATGAAATTAGTTTCCCTATGAACTTTGGGATGACCTTGGCAGGTGGAATTTCTGTAGCATCTGTAGGTCTGTACTTTCAAGAAGCAGCGAGAAAGATTAGTTATGACCACTGCTGTATAAAGCAAAAATATATTACTACACTGTAAAAGCCTTGGGAGAGAGGGTTGGGGAGAGGAGCTTAGTTTCAAAACAGCAGAGGAGACTGTAGGGGTGAATACCCTGAGGCCTGCCATTCCCCAGATGGGAGACAGTCCCATCCAGGGACTCTGTTAGCCTTTTTCTGTAGGAAGCCTCAGGCCACACCTTCTTTTTGCTCTGTGGGTCTTTTAAATTGTTTAGCAGGGGCTCTTGACCTCTGTTCTTCTAGCCCTGGCCAAACACAGGGCTGGAGTTGCATCTCTGAGGCCGCTAGAATGCAGCACTGTCCCCGAAGTACTTGCCCGAGGTTACATTGATCTGCCGCGTTTCTTGCTGCTTCCTCTTCTTAAATTAATTGCAGTCATACAGGAAAAACTGAGAGTGCTGTGCTTAGTAATTATTAGTCAGGCTATATGCAGCATTTTATCTCTTTTTTGCTTGTTTCTGAGAGGAAAATCTTGATTTCAGAATGCTCAGAATAATGTGACAATAGGCGAGGCTTGAAATCCTCAGCAAAGCCAGGCAGTGCCGACCTCCACCCAGTCCCTTGCACCAGGACGTCATGCCAGCAGAGGGTGAGTATGTGGGCACCTGAGCAGTGATGGGGCCTGTGCTTACGGCTGTTGATGGAACCGATGAGTCAGGCAATGCCTCACAAATCAAGCAGGGTGTTGCGCATGGTAAGAAACACACATCCTCTTGCAGCACTTCTTGCTGACCTACTGATTTTTGTTTTCCCATCAGCACAATCAGCATGTTGTCCTTGGTCGCTCTTCACTGAAAGCCATTCTAACAGATGAATGAGTGGCTGGATTGTAAAGCTAGGGAATCACAGGAGCAGCTACAGCAGCAGCCAGGCAGCGTATGTTTCTTAAGCAGCTTGCGCAATAACACGCTTTAGCATGTCAGCTGGGCTCTTCTGAGGGTCACCAGAGTAATTCAGCAAAGCCTTCATGTTCTCGCTGCGTCCCTGTCACTGTGAATTCCAGAGCCACTCTCCCCTTTTCTCTTTGCTCCTACAGTGCCAGGGAGAGCGGTGGGCTTGGAGGGCAGCCTCCCAGGGAGGAAGAAAGAGGGGACAGCTTCCAGCCAGGGCTTTTGCTCTCTTCCCATGATGTTGAGGGCTGCCATAGGTGGGATGCAAAAAGGCTGGGGAAGAAGGTGACAAAGGAATGGTGCAGACAGAAGCCCTGTAAAGAGTGAGGTTTCAGCAGATGGGTGGTTTGTTTGCGTTCATTCTAGCGCTTTGGCTGATTAAGGGGTGGGACTCCGAGCTGGGAGGCTTGGCTAAAAGGTCAGAGCAGCGCACCTGCGGGAGCACTGCACAAGACTGGCTCCCAGGGTATTGGACTGGACTTGTGGTATCTGCAACCTGACCGCTTTGCAGCTGATTGAATTCTTGGCCCCAGAAATCAGCGGTGGCAAGATTCGAAACAGACACACCAGTCAACATGAGCACAGCAGGCAAAGTAAGCAAAAGTTTCTATTAGCAAAGTTTCTTTGCTGCAGCTGAGTAATGCATTTTTTAAATGCAGTTTCTTTACCATGACACCGTAACTCCTCGTGGTACTGCACAGATGAGAGTTTAGGAAGAAGCTGGTACGGGAGAGCTGCCTTTACTTGTAGGACACTGTACTCTCTGTACTCTCCTAGGAAATGGTTGCTTCATTCTTCAAGGCAATAATTTATTTTTTAAACAGAGGCAACATGAGATTACAACATCAGAATAAGAATATCTTTGCCCTTGGGTTAGCAAACTTCTTAATCTCTGAGTGAACAGTTTAAAATATGATACAATGTAGTATGTGTTCAGATCAGTGTACTTATCAGCTCTGTCAGTTTCCATTCTGAGATCCCACAGTGGTTTAAACTATTTTTAGCTTCTCTATAATTCATATCAGTTTGTTTTCTAAAAAAAGGACATCGTTAATATTGTATTAAATTTCAGGGTGTAATTGTGTTGATTTTATGACAGTCATTAAATTTTAACATGCGTATAACAAGTCTGGAGCTTAAGTTAATGAAAACCAAAAGCAAGTGTCACCTGCAATGCAGTACTGAGCTGGGAGTGAAGTAAGTATTTACATCTTTGCTGAAAAGTAAGTGACAAGAGAGATGTCGGCTAATACTACCGCTAAAGACAGTATAAGTTGCTTCTTGCACTACCTGAGAGATGCTAACATATACTCAGCGACATGCAAGAGAGGTTGATGGACAGGAACCCAGAGATGGAAGACAACTGAAGGCATGTACCTTGCTAGAACATGCCTTAAAAAAGTACCAGGATCATTTGCTGTTACTCTCAGCTGTCTTCAATATTCTAAAACCAAACAAAACGAGGGGAAAAAAAATGCTCTCTAACTCTGAGATACCGCAAGTGCTAAATCAATTTTGGTTCACTTGTAGGTAAATTAACCAAGTTCAGTCCTCCACCCAGCTTTGGACTAAGCACGGTATATCAAGTGTTGTGATGGAATTAAACTGCCTCGTTTTCACTATGTTTATCTTGGAGTAATATGTGAGTTACTGTGCAGTTTATGTGACCAAGCAGCATAATCCTTCTGCTCTGTAAAAGGGTGTGTTTCTACACCTCCCCTCCTCCTGCTGCAGTAACTTGTAAGGCTGGTAGAACACATGTGCAGAAAAAAACTCCAGCTAGTGCATGCCTTAATAGATAAAATGGGTGATAGCGTGCTGTTGGTGCATCTGTGAGCTCCTGTTGTAGCTGGTAAAAGGTCACAGTGACTCAACCATCAGAACAACACGTAGTTAACCAGTGTCTAATTGTAGGAGAGATTTGTTCTCAGCAATCGACAGTTCTTGGCTACCTGAATGTGTGCTTTGCATGTGCAAGTTGTGAAATCATTATTGTGCTGTGTGGGATACAGTATAAATATATAAGGCCCCCCCCCCCCTTTTTTTATAGTAAGTTTCCTAGAAAATGTGGCCCTTTAAACTGTGATCTTTGGCCTCATTTTTTACTAATCACACTTGCATTTGACACATGAAGTGTTAAAATTAGTGCAAGCCTCTCTTGAGTCTGTCTTTTTCAAAGCATTGTGCTCATTCCCACTTTGGGTCTGGCTGCCCAAAGTCCACTATTTTATTTCATATGTTTAGTATTTTCTAGTAATTATTTTCTTGTTACTAGTTGACAATTTGTTGATAATTAGACATTATTTCTACTTCAAAAGCTTTGATACTAAAAAGTTGCACTTTCCCCCCGCCCGAGAACTTTGCAGCATGTTGGTGTTAAGTTGTCCCAGGCCAGGGTCCGAGTCACAAAGGATAATTATGCATGTGCTAAACATCTTGCATCATGCACTCAATTCACCTCCATTTCCCTCTCAAGATAATGCCACCTGAACACTTGCAGGCAGTATGACTTAATAGAGTGACTGAAATAGCATAAGGGTGACATGGAAAATCATATTCCAGGGCCTGGGGTTGTTTAAAGCTCTGGGATGGGCAGAGACCAGCAAGGAAGAACAGGAATGACTATGGGGACAGAGAGGCCCCACTGCCTTTGAATAGATTAGGAGTGAGCTTGAAGGGTGGAAACTGGGGCTACCTTCTGTCTGAGAGCCTGGGATGAGGAGTGAGCAACTCTCTTCTGAGTGCATTCTTCTCTCAGTGGCAGACGATCAGAGGAGCCCAGAGGCCTGTCAGCACCTGGACAAAGCCTGCAGAGTTAATGGACAAACTTTAGCCCAACAGACAAAAAAAAGCTGTCTTGGGTATTGGGAGTAACCCCCCCACAGAGTTAAATATCCCTTTGCAGAAGCACGGTACCTTAGCATGGGTAATCTTGCACTAAAGGGACTGTTGCTTCTTCAAGATTAGTGCTACGTCATTTTACATAGGTGTCCTCTCAGCCATCACCTCATGGCTGAACTTGGGCTGTAATAAAATGTTTATAAACCTTTATTAGGCTCTGAATTCCATTTTTAGCAAATTTGTCAGTTCCCAACACAGGCAGTTCTAGGCAATACAGGCTATCACAGCCTGATATATGGCATCATTTAGCATGCTGTCTCCAAGACACAAATGTACACCAGTAATTCAACACAGCAAAAATAATCCTCCAAGAAGGAGCAATGAGGATGGATAAGGTATCCAGTTATCCTAGGAGACTATTATACATGTTGGTGAAAACTTTGTATGGCAGAAATATGAGCCAAGTCAGACATGATCTTGGCGGGGGAAAAAATGTGGTTACACTGTGCTTTGGCTTTTTCGTTGTGTTTTGGGTTTGGGCTTTTTGTTCCTCTAGTTTTCCCTCTCCTCCCTCAAATATGAGCAGGAGTCTCACCTGCAGAAATGTAAGGATCTGTCTGTGTGGTGATTTGCAAATGCAAGCGCCATTCACTTTTTCTTTGCTCTGTTTGCAGGTGATTAAGTGCAAAGCAGCAGTAATGTGGGAAGCCAATAAACCATTTTCTATTGAGGAAGTGGAAGTTGCCCCACCAAAAGCACATGAAGTTCGCATAAAGGTACTAAAACTAAAATTTAAAACAACTATTATGACTTGCATTCTATCTTGCTGTTTATCAGAATATAGATTTTTAGGATCTGTCTATAGATTTTTAGGATCCAGTCAGAAAACATTCACTAGGTGAGTAGTTACTACTCAGTGAGCTCCTATAGAACATACTTCAAGTCCTCAATTTGATCATTAGGTTCTTTTTTTTAAAAAAAAAAAAGCTTTTCAGGATTGGATTTTTTGTTTACTAAGACACTTCTAACAGGCTGAAAAAATACAGTACAAGGCAAAATTCTGAATCTCCTGTAGAGTGGAGCAAGAAATTCTCTTTTGTTTCAGTCTATGCTAGGAAATAGCTCAGTAGGGCTGGGAGCCTCCTTTTTTAACTGAGTATTGATCATCTGACATTTTGGGAACTTTCTCAGTGGTATTCAGCAGCTGTTTTCATTTTAGAGCAGTTTCAAGCGTTAGACAACTGAGGAGAACTCTCTAATGGTGTTGACAGCTCCATTTGTCAGAATAAAAGTTGGAAAGACATAATTGAATATTTCAAAAGAAATATTGCTGTGCTACCTGCAAGAAAAGGCAAAATGTGATATGAAATATAATGTCTAACCTACTTTTTGTATGTATAACATATACATATATTTAAAATATATAAATAATGTATAATAATTAAAATGTTATGTCATTGTATCATACATATTTTATCTAACATATCCAACATATGATATATTGTAATATAATCTAAATATAAGGAATATAATATATAGATATATTTATGTAATTTTTAATATTTCTATAATATTACAAACTTTTTCTATTTATGTCTTTTTATATATATATATTAGGAATAATTAATTTTATTCTGTTCTTCATATATAATTGTATTGCTACAACATTTGTTCTGCCAGATAATTAATGAGACTCCCTACAGAGCTCGGTAGTGCATAGTAAATGTTCCCAAAGGAGCCTTGCTTTGTAGATTAAATACTAATACAAACCATGAAAATAATGAATCACACAACCAAAAGTGTTTCACCTGGAGACCTATTGTGTGCGTATGTGATTTTGGAGGGAAACAAGAGACTTCTTCAAATACATGATATCATTTCACTTCCACATATGACATGACGTAGTCAAATGCTAAAATATTCTTGTCTTTTCTCTAAATCAGATTGTGGCCACAGGGATCTGTCGCACCGATGACCATGTGATAACTGGTGGGCTGGTTATGCCTTTTCCAATAATTCTTGGGCATGAAGCAGCTGGTGTTGTGGAGAGTGTTGGAGAGGGAGTAACTTCGATCAAACCAGGTATGAAACAGCACTGAACACAAACCCTGTGCTAAGTTTCCAGACTCCTGTTTAAGTCAAAGATGATTACAGGTATTAGCTGCAGGTTCTTTAAACACAGTTTACATGGCTAATTTCTCTGAACAATAAGGCAAAGCAAAGCAGTAGACAACACATCAAAGCACCTTCTTTTAATTCTCCTAACAGCTAAATAATGCTTTGACTTCAGTGGGCCAGAACTTAGGTCCGTGTGTTCAGTTACTTCACTTAAAAAGGATCAGGGCGTGACCGGGATGCCCACCCTTCTGCGGGCTTTGGCAGGTGGGTCAGCACTGCTCACTGAGGGCTGGATCATTCTGAGGACACTTAACTGGACCAGCTGCTCCTCCTGCTACACTCTCTTTGAACTACAGTGGGTAGATAAAGTCAGTGAAAGATGCTGATTTTTCTCCAGTTGCTGCAAGAGGAGATGAGTTTTCTGTACACTTTTATGGGACTGAACAAATTCTAGAAATGGCTAAGTTAAGATGAAATATGCAGTGAACAAAATCTGGACAGAAATGCTCAATTTTATACAGGCAGTTTGGAACAATACCCAAGTAGTTCACTTTTAACACCTCTGTATTCCAAGTGTCTTTGTACTGGCAACAAGTACAAAGTCTGTCCAAAGCAGATTAGTGTGTATGATAAGAAAAGTTTTTATTGGATATTTCTGCTTTAACTCCAAACAAATATGGATATTGCAAATTTCAGTAATAGCTCTAACTGCTTTTTCTCTTACGTATATGGGTTCATAAATCACTCTGTTGTCTAATTCTAGCTGCTATGTTCTTCCAAGTGAGCTAAAACAGCAGGCCTGAACACGCGCATGCACACAAAATCATGTTTCTCAGTTGTTGCTTAATTTGCACCTTTAAATTCTAAAAAAGGCTCCAAGATGTGCAAAGTTTCTTCAGCAGAATAATTACTAAGCATATGTCACAGTTCTAAGTTAACTGAGGGCCCAGGTGGTGGGTTCATTTCATGTTCTATAGGCATTTTCAATTTTTTTTAGCGGAAATCAAAGATTTCTTTTGACCTCCAATGTGTCAAGGATTAGCCACAATTTAGAACTGCCAAATCACAAACTGATCTGTATTAGAGAGTATCTGCTTAGAGATTATTAGGGATTTACCATATCATTGCTGTGGAAAATGCATAGCAGTAAAGAATCACACTGGGAAGCTATGTGCTCCTTTGTTAATTATACAATTGTGCTAAAGAATTAGAGATGTTGTCTTAGCTTGTGTGTGTCACTGCTTCTCTTTTACCCGCCTTTACTCCAATGTAACAGGAACAGGACTGCAAATAGGAAAGAGGCTCAAGAGAGTTGGCAAATTAATGCTTAATTCCCATTCTTTGTATGCACAGTTTACAGCCCTGTTATCTTGGCACTCCGATCTGCTGTCCTAGTGGATGGCGATTTTTATCTCCGTTTTTTTACCTGCATATTATTATTTTCCTTTTAAGCAGAAGATGCAATAAACTTCTGAATGAGTACTTTGGGAATGTCAGTAGCTACTGTGGTTTTATGACATAGCTCAGACTCAGTTCTATGAAAGACACCAGGAATTTTGCATATTGAAATTAGTTGCCATAACTTTTACCCTAATGATGTCCATTATAACAGAGGAAGATGGTTTATCCTCAAAGGGCAGCAGAAGGAAACAAGACCAGCAATGCACTCCTAATGCACATTTGCCTAGGGATTAAATACACTTGCTTCATGTATTTACCTGCATGCTTCTTGTTTGCCTTTTTAAATCCTCTGTCATTACTTTTTTATTTCCAGGAGACAAGGTTATTCCACTCTTTGTTCCACAGTGTGGGGAGTGCAGTAGTTGCTTAAGCACCGAGGGTAATATGTGCACTAAAAATGAGTAAGTTTTCCTGAGTTACCTACAACCTTTATTTGATTTTTATTTATACAAAACTGATCACATTCAACAGATTTCACTTGCCATTGTTTCTGGTAATCTTTCAAACAGCATTGGTTCAAGTACTGGAGGAATGCCTGATGGCACCACTAGATTCACCTGTAAAGGAAAAGCAATTCACCATTTTATTGGTACAAGTACCTTCACAGAATACACAGTAGTGCATGAAACTGCTGTAGCCAAAATCGATTCTGCTGCTCCTCTGGAAAAAGTTTGTCTAATTGGCTGTGGATTTTCAACTGGTTATGGGGCTGCTGTGCAGACTGCCAAGGTAAGTATCGCTTCTGGTATCTCACTGGGTCTGTTCAGGATTGTGTGGTCTGCAAGAAGGTCATCAACATGACAGCCAGGAGGTATAGGCTCTGTTGAGCTCAGGGTGGAAAGAACATACTAGTTCTTTGCCTACTTCGGTTTCTTTGTCTCTGAGGTACTCAGAAGTCTGCAATTCAAAATCCAGTAAAAATACTTATTACCATCTATTATGTTTTCTCTCGTAGCTTTATCACCCCTAGAAAAGTGTTACAACAGAGCTGATTTGTTTTGTTGTAACTTAAGTCTAGGAATACCCGGAAGCCCATATAGGCAACACTCATAATTTGTAGCAGTACATGAATGTGACTTTTACAGCTGGCACTGTCTCCAGTGGAGTGACACTACAGAGCTTAAGGCCACTGGAATATAAAGCATCATTAAAAAAAAAAAAAGGGTGTCTCTAAACCTGAACCCGAGAAAAGTAATGAAAACCTGGTCTCAGAAGTGCACTTTAGGGACAATTTATCTTTGTCACGTGTAGGATTATACCAGTATAGCTGGCTATTGCTAGTAGGTATGCATGTACAAATTCCATCTCAGCGGGTAGTCTCTAAATTACAAGAAGTGGCTTTAGTGAAAACATGTTGATAATAAGGAAATGCATTGTACTTAGACTGCAACAGTGTGCCATGTTTATATGGTTATTATAGGTGCAACCAGGCTCCACCTGTGCTGTCTTCGGCCTCGGAGGAGTTGGCCTCTCTGTTGTCATGGGCTGCAAGGCGGCGGGAGCTTCCCGCATCATTGCCGTTGATATCAATAGTGACAAGTTTGCCAAGGCCAAGGAGCTGGGAGCCACCGACTGCGTCAACCCTAAAGATTTCAAGAAGCCTATTCATGAAGTGTTGATTGAAATGACAGGCCACGGTGTGGACTACTCCTTTGAGGTCATCGGCCGTACGGATACCATGGTATGCAACCAAAAGACGTGGTCAAATGAGGCATTAGCTTGTTAGCTCTCTCTTCTTTAACCCACTAAGCACCAAGGGTGAGGAGCTGAGACACTGGCAAAGTGTCCAGCTAAGTTCAAACCTGTTAAGTCCAGCTGTCTGCCACTGAGACGCAGGGACAGAAGCACGCTTAAAAACTTAGGAAAGGGAACTTCAGTGTAGACCTCTGGCCTAACCAGGATGGCTACATTTCACAGAGCCCACCATCCAACAGTGGCTTGTCACTAATGACTAAGACAAAATGGGGAAGCAGAACAAAGCTAGGACATATCTAACCTATGAGAGCTGATACATTTCAGTTATGAAAAATGAATTATGAGCTGAGCCCTGTTAGGAGGAGAAGGAATTAAAACTTCTGTGCCTCAGCAGCCAAATCCTGCATGACTCTGAGGTGTCCCTCTGTTTTAAATGCAGACTGCAGCCTTGGCCTGTTGCCAATACAGCTATGGAGTCAGTGTGATTGTGGGACTGCCTCCTGCAGCACAAAATATCACTTTTGACCCCATGCTTCTCTTCACTGGTCGCACCTGGAAAGGGTCTGTCTTTGGAGGTAAGGACTTGAAAAAATGTGATTGAACAGGCTTGGGAAGCTTGTAAATCATCGTGAATGAGATGGGATACATCTAAATTCATTGCTTAGGTTGTCTATTGGAAGTAGTATTGATAGCTATTTTGCTGACAAAGAAGCACAAAGGAAATTAATTGTGGAAACTGTTTATTAGTTAATGGTGAGAGGAGAGAAAAACAGGGAGGGAGGGGGGAAGAAGGGGGAGAGAAGAAGAGGAGAAAGAAAATAAGAGTGCAAGATGAGAAAAAAGGGAGAGAGAAAGAGAGAGAAAGGTAGAAGAGAAGAGAAGAGAAGAGAAGAGAAGAGAAGAGAAGAGAAGAGAAGAGAAGAGAAGAGAAGAGAAAAAATAGAATAAAGAGAAAGAAAAGGAGAAAGATAAGAGAAAAGGATGAAGGGAGAAAAAGAAAAAATGAAAATATTTTGGGGGGAGAGGAGAGAGGGATGGGGAGAAAAAGAGCAAGACCAAAATGGAGAATGAGATGGACAGAAAGAGAGGGAAAGAAAAAGAGGGGCAGAGATGGAGAGTCAGGACCCCAAAGGCCACTGGGGCTCAGACCCACCTGATTTCCACATAGGTCAGAGTCCAGCTCGGCCCCTTGCCAGCTGCTGCCAGTCCCTTCCAGTCCTTTCTCTTTTCTGAGCTCTCCCAGCAGAGTCCCACACTGAGCAAGCCCTAGCTCACTCAGCACAAAACTGAAGGCCACAGAAAACTTGTTTCCAACAACAGGTTTTCTCACTCACAATCAGTTCCTCTGATATATTCAACAGACACTTGAATACAATAGCAGAGACAAATTAGGTTCCTCTGGAAGGGCATCCTATTATTTGAGACAGCTTTATCCAGTATTCCTTGTAAGAAAAAAGAGACGCATCCACCCCCCTCCAATTTTGACCAGGCAATCAAGTTGCCGGTTGCCAACATGGATGTTAGCACAGAAGTTGAAGACATGCTGCAACATTTCATCATGCTATTCGGCTGTAGAACGTTTATCTAAAAATTTAAGCTAATTTAAGAGTTTTATCTATTTTCACAAGCAGTTAATATTTCATTTTCCATGTGTTTTTTTCCAGGCTGGAAGAGTAAAGATTCAGTCCCTAAACTGGTTGCTGACTACATGAAGAAAAAATTTGTTCTGGATCCATTAATAACCCACACCCTTCCTTTCACTAAAATCAATGAAGGATTTGATCTGCTAAGGAGAGGGAAGAGGTAAACGTTGTTTAATTGTAAAGGTTCTATATAAATAACCTACAGGAGCTGTACAGTAACACAGAGTATGACATCATGGCAGAGAATGGGGAAGGCAACCCACTCCGGCACTCGGTCTCGCCCAGTGTGTGTCCATGGCTTGCACCTGTAGTAACAAAGCCGGCAAAGCTTTAGCTTTTGAAATACATTGGGCCCTGTCTTTCCTTGCAGAGGAACTTTCAGATTCTAGTTGAGCAAAGACTCTGGGTGGCAGAGGGAGAAAAGACCACACAAATGAGGAAGTCTCTGCCCAGTACCCACTGGAAAAGAGCGCACAACCAAGGGAGCCTGGGAATGCCAGGCTGTAGAGTGCCAGGAGTTAGCTACATGGCATTCCAAGAAACATTTTAGGATCAGCAGCAGGAACACAGACATAGCCCATGTTTACTGGAAGAGCAACTCACTGTTCCTCTTGTGAGTTAGGGAACACAGTCCCAGTGCAACTAGTCTTAAAGTCACGGGGTAGTTTACCTTGAACTTCAGAGCTTTAAAAAAAGGAAAGTACTTGGTGTATATATACATTGCAAACTCAGAATTTAGCTCTCGTGCATTCCTCAATGCTGTGAGAGTTTAGCTTACACTCTTTTTTTAGGGTGTTGAAATCAGAAATACTGTTTGCTGGAGACATTTGACAAGAATCACCAGGGGAATAATGGAAAGCTCTCCTTGGGAAATACATTTGTATATCTTAGTATGTGTGAGGACTACCCTTTTTGAAAGTTCTAGCTGTTTATAACTGTCTGGAGAATTACATTAATGTTTTCTTTTCATTATCACTTGCCAGCAGTTATTTTAGGTGTTACTTACTCGAAATACAAAAAGCATGTAACAGAAGAATTTAGCCCCTGAGGTTTCTTCTCAGGTTCTAACTATGCAGCACACACTTCAGTTTTTTTACTGTCCTCATTTTAGATATGCTGTAAGTGTTAGTTTTAGATCTTAATGTAGCAAACAGGGGAGAGTGGTGAGGGCAGAGACGCCATCAGCTTTGCTAAAATACTAACAGTGAACATGAAGACAGAGGCATGTGGCAGCTGACCATTTTCCTAAGTGAAACACTTCAGTGTTTCAGCCAAGAATAAGCTGTACCACTCTGAGGTTACTCTTAGAGCCATTAGTATCTGGAAAGATGTGTCTAAGCTCCCCTCCAAGGACTTCCCAGGCTATATTTGGTGATTCATTGCTCCATAAATGAAGCCTTTGCAGTCTTGCATGAATTTTGTTCTCTGCATCTGCAGCAAGGTTTGCACATCCACTCTGTCATTTTGCTGCAAGCTGGGGCTAGGGCAGCAGGGAGGGAGCACCCTGCTTGACAGCAATAGCTTAGCTTTTCAGAGGAAACAGCAGTGCTTTGCTGATGTTAGCCCAGGGGCTTTTCTACAGTCACTAACTTGTCATTTTCTGTTGCAGTATCCGCAGTGTCCTGGTGTTTTAGGATTCCCAATTGTTAAGCGGCAGATGGCTCAGCACCAGTACAAACTTCATTATTCTCCAGTACAACTGATATGAAATACAAGCCAAGACATTGCTGAAGGGTCTACCACCACCACCCTTGAATAAAAGGATCAAGCTCAAACCCCAGACTTCAAGCATAGTGTTTATAAATGAAATAATCCTTTTCCTCCTACCTCTTTCTCCTGATTCTTGCTTTAAATCCTCTGTATTGTGCTGCAGTTTTCTTTTAATAGCCAGTTACGAATTACAGGACTTGTTTGAATTTTTTAAAATAGCTTTTAATATGCACTCTTTTAATAAAAGAAAAATAAAGGAAACTGCTTCTTTGGGTCTGCACACTTAACAGATTTGTGCATGCAGCTCTGCACAGTCAAAGTCTAGGTGAGAACTGTGTATCCATCCTGAATGATTTAAGCATTCCATTACCTGAGAGGCAAGGAAATTACTGCAGAGATTAAAATTTATGGTGACCATATGTTTGAATTAATAATTTCAGTAAATTACATTTAAGTAAATCATACACTTAGGTACTGAAAAATGTCTCACTGCTGGATATTTTACCAAATTAACATGTCAAAGCATTTTATATAAAGCTGCTGTGTTGGTCTGTGTTGTGGTTTGGGTTTTTTTTTAGCTTTGTACCTCTTTATTACCAACAACTAAAACATCCCTATGTTTTAGTTGTTTTATCAGTATGGTTTTAGATGTTTGGCCAATTTATTCAAGTGCATCTCATGCTTTGGAAACAATGTGAAGAAATATGAATGTGCATCAAGTACTGTTATTTGTTTCCATTAAATAAAGGGGAGATTTCTTAGCCTGTAAAGTATGAAGACAGAGTAAGTGGGAAGAAACAGCTGGCTGGTAACAGTTTGCAAGAAAGTAAGCATCAAGCATCTTCCTGCTTTCTGGAAACATGAACAGAGGCTATTTCTATCTCTGCAAACATGGTCAACATTGACTTGTCTTTTGAAAGTACTAATCAGAGCCTGCAGGCACTCGCGTGCATGGTAGCTGGGTAGAAGAGCCTGTGAAGTAAGGGGACTGTGTGCTAATGGTGACTTACTTGTTTGTGTCAGCAGAAAGAGTCCTTGAGCGGCCCAGCTAGGTTAATGATTTAAGGATGAGTTTACTAAGGGATTGGGCTTTAACAGTAATAAACTCAGTTTACACAGCAGTTAAAACCCAAACTTCAGTCATATGTTTCTGTGGGATTACCTGTGCTGAAGTCAGGGCTGAAGACTTTTTCTGGACCATAAAATAATTCTTTTCAAGTGCAGTTCAGTTGAAGAGTTCTGATGACAGGCAGTGTGTGACAGGATCACTATTCAAAATAGAAGGAGAGAGGTTTTAATTCTACTTAATTTATCTCATCTGTAGTAACATGGATTCAGCAGAAACAAGAGCATAATAATAACAACTCAATTCTCATAGTATTCTGTCAAAATGTTTTTGGTGGAGGCCAAGCTAGTTCATTGTACCAGCTAAGGTATGTTTAGCTCATGACTTAAACAGAAGCCAAAGAAGGCCTGTCCTTTTGAGGACAGAAAGGAGGAGTATAGAAAGGTAAAGTATCCTCCATATGCCAGATACATGTTTTTACCAAGGCATTTCCTATTGCATGAAGGGTAGAGAATAGAGAATATAACAGCAGTCTTCAGACTAGAAGAAGAAGAAAAAAACAATGAACCTCCTCACTTCTGTCTTCTTCAGGATCATGCAAAGCCCATTTCTGTCATAACCCACTAAGAACAGTAAACACCTGCTGTTAGTATCTTTATTATGATAGTTGCTGGGGTCTAAAATAGTAAATCCATGAAATAATTCTTCCTAGGGACAATTTATAAGGCAGCAATCTAATTTTGTCTCCACATGGAGGTAAGAAGTGGCTTCTGACTCTGGGGAATGACCAATAGTTCATATTGTCCTAGAGTATTTCTCCCTGCAGAGCCCCATCCACACTCAGCTGAAGATTAATTTGTTTGTGTGATTGTACAGCTCTGACCAGCACATTTCTGACAGACCTTCCCAATGGCTCTGTGACTCTGAGTACTCCAGGTGGGTTCAGGGCCACATGCAGCAGCTCTGTCTGGGCCTCCATTTAGGAGCTTTCCTGTGAACGCGCAGGGTCCACACTCCCCATCAGAGCACAATCTGTCCATTAGCACTTGACAACATTATGAAAAAAATCCAATCATTTCCCAAGAGACAAACTCTTTGTCTGACAAAGCACAAATGGTGTTTCCTCAGACCTTGAGCTATGCCAGTGGTTACTGAACACAACTTGGCTTCATGTACAGCTGAGTGCTCCTGTGTTTCTGCTCTCCCACCACATGCCAGCAAGTCCCCCAGGGAACAGCACAGAACAGTTGGGTCGCTCCAGCAGTACATGCTCCAGTGTGCAGAGACACACACTGTGCACCTCTGTTTTTACATGCTTGCAAGAACATCCTCCCTGATCATTCCCACACAGCATCATCTCCTCTATTGCTTCCAGGTTATTAGATGGAGAGCGCGGAGCTCAGCAATAAAAACCACTGTGTCACACACACAACTGGGAGACAACAGGCCAATGTTTTGTTCAAGGGTTCTCACATCTTTGGCTGCTCAGGACAAGTGAAATCAATTTTTCCTCTTGTAAGATACATAAATCCTACCCCAAATCACAATAGATTTTTTTTTTTTTAATGCAGCAGGCAGACCAGGCTGAAAAATGAAAACCTTAAAAACTGAATTCTAACAATCCTTATTCCTGGGAAATTATACATCACCAGCACTCACAGGCTGATGGAGGCTAACAAAGGTACACAAAAAAACCCCACCTAATTAAAAGCTTCCTGAGACAAAGGTCCCTGTGCACCTGAAATACAGATTAAAATGATGCACAAGTTCATGGCCATGCTAGTGCCAGATGCTCACCTCCATGACAGGAGCATAGCAGCACCTGGCCATCATCACATAGAGGTTGGGCTTGACCAACAAGGCTGGGGAACAGGCTGCCCAACAGCACTTCCATGTAGCTGGAGCCATTGCCACACCACAGGGCCACCATGCCCCGGGCAATAACTTGGCCGGCTGCTGAGAAACAGTAGCATTACCAGTCAGCATGGGTGAAGCTAAAGATAGGCCCAGGGGATCTGAGAGCTGGGGGCTGACCTGTCAACAGCAAGTGCTGCTGCTGCTGCTGCCCTTCCTCCATGCCCCAAGAAACAGGGCTGGGACACACAGTAGGAAGTGCCAACAAAAACGTCTCCAAGCAGTCCCCTGACCCCATAAACCTGGGGCTCACATCTACCTAAATCCAGAAGTTACCAAATCTGAGGGTCATAGACAATGTCCCCCTCATCTGAGTTCCTATATATCAAGTCATCCCATGCCTTAGCAGCAAACGGTTCTGTGGGAACCAGGAGAGAAGAGGGGAGCGAACC